TTAGGCCTGGGGATGAAAGAAGGGGTGTCGAAACAATGTGTTTTGTTTTGCATATACACTTGTGCCGAATCCAATGTATGGGGCATGTGACAGAAAGAATCTCACTCACACGGAGCATCGGGAAGACAGTGATGAACGTTGGTAAAAAAAAGTAGATGAGAGGATAATCTGCAATTTGGCAAGCAGATTTCTGACTATGGTGAACAGCGGACGTGGAAAAACACGATGGATGATAAAAGGTTGGACTGCACATTTGAAGGAAAGAACTAATATTATCTTTCAGGGAACGATTTCGGGGAAACGTTCATCCGAAATAGATTAGAATCTGCAGTTACCAAATAGACTGGATTGTTGTGTGCGATAAATTTAACCTTTGGAGGAGTTCGAAGTAAAAAAACTGTTTCTCCGTTGAAATAGTGTTAAGATTTTTTAGAAGTTTGATCATTATGATTGCACGGAAAGAGAACACCTGGGAAGGAGTTGTTCCTCCTTCGACCGGAAGTTCGATTCTTTTCCGTTTTTCAAAGAGCAACTGATGGAACTGAACAAAAGTGTAGTTTTACATTTTCACTCAACCTTTAGAATTAAGTTTGTAAGAAATTATTCATCGGTAAAACCCGTAGGAGAACAGCTGCACGATCATTATTCGTTCATCACACACCATTATGCAATGAAAAACAGAATGGATCAATCTCATGATCACGAACGTCTATAGAAACCGACGATCAGCTATGAAATAGCGAAGTCAAATGAAGAGCTGCGAAAGTCACCAATAAGATATGTGAACCAATCAAACTAGTGACAGCGAAACTGGCCACCTTCATAGTTAGATGGTGACGGTGGATGTAAAACTATCGAGAAGTGCTGGGACTGAAATAGATGTGAAACTAGACAGAATGATGGGATAATATGCTTACGAACTCAAGCTATAATCCACCAGGATAAGAAAGAGGAACAAGAAAAGCGATGTAAAGGCAGTGTGTCCTGGTACTAGCGTAGACACGGCCCGAAGAATCAGCAGTTCGGTTGTTCATCCCCGTATGGCGTCCGTTTCGCGAACCGATGAGATTATCGCTACCACGTGCAAGTCAAGCGTCGTCATCTGCAGTGGTAACTCATGAGATAAACTCTATTCGCAATAAGTTTTGGTGCTAAAAAATCGAGAACTAAAGTCATCGACAAGAACACCTATCAAGACAGCTCGATACAAGTGCCCTACTGCAAAGATATACCTTTGGGATTGGCACACGATCCCGGACCGGTAATTTTCAATTCGTCGTGGAGGCGGTTCAGGAACACACGGAGGAATTCTTGGGCATCGTGCTGACCGTATCCCATGAACATGGGATGTAAACACTGAACTTCACGAAGTATTGGAAGTGGGACTGAGTGGTGACATCTGACCGGGAAAATGAACAAAAATAACACACAACAGTTAACTCGAGTTGTGCAACATACACCCCCTCCTCATGATGAGCTGTACCAGAACCCTGTTACAGTCCGGACATCAAATGAAAAGAACACTGTTGAATTCTTACCTATCAAGTCCATACTAAGAACGTCAGACAATAGTGATAGTACCAACTAACATAAAACGATCGGACTGGTCCGGAGATCATGCAACTGAATCTCATAATCACTCTAGAGAGTGATTTTTCTCACCCCTAGTATTCCTTCGATTGCCCACTGCTTGTTACCTAAAAACTGATTGCACAAGTCTGTTAGATAATAGTGAATCAGAATCACGATCACTTCTAATATCATCATTATAATTATTGTTAACATTGCTGAGAGAAGATAAAAGTGTTCGAACATAAGAACCACGGATAGTTCCAACTGTTACCCATAATACATAAAGATTGCCACTAAAACTATTTTCATGTTGCTTTCAAAGTGCACTTTCTTGTAAGTAAAACGGGTTATTGCCCAAGTGATTTGGGGTGTATGACAATGGTTAAAACAAACATTAGGTATTTTTCAAACATTGGTTATTGTTTTCAAACTCCAAATAAAACACACTGGAAAAGTGGAACTGGTTGGACTATCCGTACCCTTAAGGTTGATGGGACCATTGAGCGAGGCTCATTAAACATGGGGATAGCTGTCAACCCCTCCAGGGGAAAAGCACTTCGCAACCCAAAACGTGAAAGTTTATTTCAGTTCCCTTATAATATTAGTTTTACCTTTTCTGGTACAAAATGGAGCTCTCAAATCCTGACACTCAGTGATATCTCAAGGATTAGAGTTCCTTGTGGACGTTATTATCACAAGATGATTCTCGTGAAATAGAGTACTAGAGTGGTTCATTTTATTTTAGCAATAACACAACGTTTATATAAAAAAGCACGGAAACTGATCTGATTGTTACCGGATCTTAGTGCCTGGGTCTCCTGGAATCGGAAGTGTATTCAACACACAGGCCTGAGCAGTACGCGGTCAAAGGGACTGAACACTAAGTTCCAGTGATTGCGGATGCCGAGCATCATTAACATGTAGGTTCGACTTAAACGAAAGGTTCGTAGCTCGGACGACCAAGCATTTTAACTACTCACAACACAAGTAGATGTGGAAAGAATAAAGTGTCTTCACTTCACAATCCACACATTGTCTGAACATAAAATATTCCGACCTTTACATTTAACGAAAACCATATCCATCAAAGTTATAATAGCAATCTGATAATCTGTTTGCTGAAATGATTGCTGACTAACTATAATTATCAGCAAAATTTTGGAAAGTAG